GCTGGCTGGGGAATTCTGGGAGTTGAAGTCCACACGTCTTCAAGTTGCCATGGTTGAGGAACCCTGTGTTGGGGTAACTTGTGATGTGGGCAAGGCCAAATTTTATGGGCTTTGGGGGAGAGCTGGGAGGGCGAAAGGGGAAAATGAGTGCTTCAGGTTTTGCAGAAGTTTTGCCTATAATTCTCTCATAGTGAAAAAAATCAGCCTGGTTTTGGAGTGGGGATGAAGTAGTTTCATAAGGCTTAAAATTCTTCAACCGTCCACTCCCAGGACTAAAAGTGCAGGCTCGGTGTGCCCCAGGTGAGCCACAAAGGCCACAAGAGAGGCTCAGAGGAACCACAAATTAAAAACAGCTTCTTATAATCCTGGATCCCTGTTCTTTGTTCAGTCACGGGAAGAAAGGTTTGTGCAAATGTTTGTCAAATGCAATATATAATTTAGCCTCATTCTTCTCCCCGCCCAGGAATGGGTTTGCAGCATTGATACATCGTTCAGGTCACAGTGAAAAGGCCTATTTGTGCTTGGACCCTCTGCAGAATTCTAGACCCCTGGATTCTTTTAGAGCAAGACATTATGCCCCACATAAATTACCGTGCTGGGAAAAAAGCAGGTTGCATGGAACCATGCCAAGGAGTAGAACTCCTTAAAGTTTTTCTCCCCTTTCCCCCTTCACAGATGCAAATGCAGTGCTGAGGAAGAATCAGAAGTTGAGCAGGTGCATGGAGAGTCTGAGGCTGCTGGAGGTTTATTGCCAGGAACTGTTGAAGACTCAAGCCAAAATCTCCCAGGGAGAAGATGTGATTACGTTTCTTGAAGCCCAGAGCCAGGATCTGGAGCCTTCCTTTCCAGAAAACAGGTACATTTAAGAAAGGAGGTTTTCCTGAAGGGCAGGGAGAAAATATGCACATTTTACGAGGCTCAGTTCAAACATCAAATCGTGTCGTGGCTTGAATTCTTAGAATGTAGAACTGGAGGCAAGCTGTGGTTCAAACTATGTTCCTGCTTTCATTTTCAGCATGCCTTTCCTGGAATCCTAGAGACAAAGAAAATGCTGTGTTATTTGACATATATTTTGACTCAGGCCTGCCAGACAATTTCAGGAGATGAGTGATATGAGGGTGTTGGGGAGGAAAGAAGCAGTCTCTAGTGAGGACCGGGTGAGGATTTCCCTGTTCGTGGTAGAACTGACTTCTAGGCTTCTTGGTCAAACCAGATGTGAGAGCCAGTTTGGTGGAGTGGTGAAGGTGCCAGACTCAATCCTGGGAGACCCTGAGGCAGGAGGACGGCTGGGTGACTTTGGGCCAGTCCCTCTCTCAGCCCAACCCGCCTCACAAGGGTGTTGCTGTGGGGAAAAGAGGGGCCAGAGCATTAGGCACGCCACTTGGAGTTGTACAAAAATAAAGGTGGGATATAATAATTTGTTCTAAGCATGTGCTTCATCTACAACACTAACGCATATCCAAGGTTTGCAAAGTACTGAGTAGAAAGCAAACAAACCAAATTTAGCATAATGTGATATATAAACTCAGCTATTTTTAGAGAGCATGCAAAGTGTTTCTGGTTCTGCTTTGGAATCACCACACTAGCCAAACAACGGGCTGTTCTTTGGGTTAAATATGTTTTGCTTCAGAGTGGGTGTTGAGATGAAAGCTTTTAATAAAAAGGCTTCAATTTTGGTAACTTGGTGAGTGCTGGAGAAGGACCGGGGAGACCCAGCCCCAGTTCCCCCCCGACCACAGAGTTTATAAGTGCCTGTGGGTCAGACACCTACTTTCAATCCTACCTATTGGGTTGTTCTTGTGCAACTAACATGAGGGGAGACTCACATGTAAGCCGTCTCAAAGGAAAGGCGAGATGTATGAAAGTCAGGGCTCACATCATCAGAGGAAAACACCCTGATTTTGGATCTGGCCATTGCCAGAAGAAGAGACAGATGGAAACTGACTCTCTGTCAACCAGCTCCTGGCGGTGTGTGGGAAAAAGAGACTTGGAAGTACGAAGGTTGACTTCACTCTAAAGAGGACTCGCTTTGCATACGTACACAACGGTCACTGGAATTCTTTCATGGCGCCTTCTTAGCTTTTCTTGCAGTAACATCTTGGAAGAAGCTCCTGGATTTCTGCCAGCCTGCTTCAGATTGCCTCAAGTCCAGGCTGCAGGGGAAAAAAAAGTCGACAAGATATAAATGCAGGGCATTGTTATTGTGATATTAAGAAAATACACAAGATAGCTGTAGGCCACAGCTTGTAATTTCATAAATTGGCCCCATAAGGCTGAAAGACTCGTTTTATCAGTCCAGAGTTTCTTCTGTTGCTCCATTCTGTCTCCCGGGGTGGTGTCGCTGGCACACCCTCGGGTCAGGCCCGGAGGCACGGATGTCCTTTTCATCCTAACATCCAGCATACTGTGCTATGATAGACTGCCTCTGCACGTGTTGTAAATAATAGCTGCCATTAATTCCATAAAGTATAATCGAAACAACTTGGAAATAGTTTAAACTGATTTCAGCGATGATTTCATTACCATCAAAAAAAGGAAAAAAAAGTATAAGTTACCAGAAACAAACTCAATCCGAGCAGTCTTTTCCAGTCTGGCGCCTTCAGAAGATCTAGGACTTTGACCCATTATCCCCAACCAGCATGGCGTCTGGGAATGATAGGAGTTAAAGTCCAACACCTCTGAACGGGAATGGGTTGGGTCAGAAGTCGACTCTACCATTTTACTGCTGGCAATACGACACTCAGATTTCATTGTTTTCACTTTGTTCTGTACACAGTACTATAAAAGCTTTCCTTTCAGCAGATGAAATATTAACATGCCAGTGAATGATCTGTTTGGCTGTAGATGTAATTTACGTATTCAGATTTATTTATTTAGAAAATGTATTAGCCGACCGTCTTGTGTACTTAAATGACACACTTTAGTTAAATTGTAAACCAAACTGTAGCTTACTCAACCAATTTATGGGGTTTGCATGACACCCAGAACCCTAACTAACCACCTGGGTTGGGTTTGTGCCATCTGTGAGGATAAAACGTGGTTTGGCAAGTCATGTGAACCCACCCATTGAGTTGAAACTGGAGCCTTTTGTGATTTGCTGAACGTTGCTTAAAAAGCAGACCCCTCGTGAGTGCCCAGCCAGCCATGGGAGTCGTAGGGCTGTAACGGGCTGCTGCTTTAGGAATACGGCAGCTGGAAAAACAGCTGTTGCAACATCCGTTTGAATTTCACGATTTTCATCCTGCAGCGTCATCATTTTGCCTTCTGAAATGGGAGAGAAGAAGAAAGAGCCACCCAGGACATCCAGCCTGACCATCACGCAGCCGGTCGTCTCCCAGATTTACCAATGCGTGGCACCCTTTAGAACCAGAGACACCCAGAACAAGCCCTTTGAAGCCACCCAGGCAGAAAAGCTTGAAGTGCTGATGAAAGACCCGACAGGTACGGAGCACAAACGGGCACCTTCCAGCAGGATCCTGATGCCACGGCCTGGTTGCGTATTGCCTGCGGGCATTCTGAAACCATGGTTCATTTAACTGAATTGGCTAGGTCTGCACGACAGCATGCCCTGTAATCCCACACAGGCATCGTTTATAAACCACCTCTAAGCCATAAATCATGATTTACAAGCTACACTTGGAAAGTTTGCACAACATGCTAAACCAAAATCAGTCAAACCGTATCATGCTGATGTATGAACCCAACCTAGGATAGTAAGAATGATATCCTTGATCCAAGCCTGCTTCTGCAGTGTTCTCCTTAAATAAGCCAGATTTTTCTCCATCCTGTGCTCTCCTGACTTGCAGAGAGCTGGGAGGATTGCAAAACCATTCAGATTCACTGCAAGGAAGAGCTTTTCCAGGAGGGTTTGCCTATGAAATGGTATGGGTGGGCAGGGAGACTGTACGGGCTAGAGCAGTGTTGTCCAAACTTGGCCACTTTAAGATGAGTGGACTTCAACTCCCAGAATTCCCCAGCCAGCTGGGGAATTCTGGGAGTTGAAGTCCACTCATCTT